CCCTGCAATGCTGGGTCCGGCCCCACCATCCGGCCCTGCCGCGAAACCCACCGGCGTGTCCGTACACCCCGCTCGTAGCCCCGGCTCTGACAGCGGCCCCGACCACCAGTCCCGCCCCGCCCCTTGCGTCACCACGTCGCGTTACCACGCCCCTTTATTCACGCCCGTTGATCCCGGCCTAATGCGGCTGCGCAGTCTGGCGTCAAACAGCGGGGCGGGAGCCGCGCAAGGCAAGGCATGGCATAGGCGGGGCCTGGGGCCTACTGTACGGTCCGGGGACCCCCACCGTGGCCAGAGAACTCACACCACGGCCTGGAGACCCTTGGTATGGCCTGGGGACTCTCACCGTGGTCCGTGGCTCACAAACCTCTCATGGCTTGCTGACTCTCATCATGGCTTCAGGACCCCAACCGTGGCCTGGGGACCTCTGCGATGGCCTAAGGACCTGAACTTTGTCGTGGAGGACCCCTTGCCCTGGGGCACCTCAGGCTTTTGGGGATATCCCACCATGTGTGACAGCCAGCAGATGCCCAGCAGGGCACAGGAGGTGTTCTGGGAGCTCTGCATTTCTGGAAATTTCCTGACAGTGAGTCATATTGGTGCCAGTCTCGGCCACAGGAGCTGTGCAGGGCTGGATGGCACTTTCAGGAAGTGAAACGGGTGCCAGGAAAACACCCCAACAGCCCGAGTCCACGCAAGCCCAGCCACGCACATCCCCGGCCCTCCCAGCATGGTGCAATCTGGCGCGCTGGACAAACATGAGGGTGAGGAGTGTCCCTGAAGGCCATGACTCTGAAGAACATGTCCCCAGGGTGGCATGAGCGGGCACAAGAAACAAAGTGGACAGCAAGGTCCTGCACCCATTGGTGTTAGGGCAGCGAGGACGAGAGGGGTGACAGAAGGCACAGCTGGCCATGGCACCAGGGGTCTGGGCAGTGCAGGAGGAAGCAATGGGAAATGGTGGAGTGGCAGCACTTGTATCACCAGCCACTTCCGGGACACCCACAATCCCTGGCCCTGACAAGGGTGGGTGTCATCACAGCTGTGCTGGGGCTGGGATTGGGACTGGGGTCAGAGCTGGCACTGAGTCCGCCTCCCTGCTAGGTGAACCAAATGGCAGCCTGACACATGGCACAGGCCCCACACATCAACCCCAAACATTGCCTCTGCTCTCTGCCCCACACGCCAGCCCTGGAGCATCCTTCTGCTCTGCCCCATACTCTGCTCCTGGAACATCCCCTGTCTGCTCCATGCTCTGCCTCTCCACTGCACTGCTTGGGGGCAACCAGCTCCCCCAGCCCTCCAGTCTCAACAGAGTAATTGGGTAAAACCAGGCATTGCGAAACCTGGAAATCCCACTCTGACGGCGCTTCCTTCTAGAGACTCTTGAAAACCAGCCACACTGACGCTGGGCTCAGAGAGCAGCCAAACAGCACTGCAGGCAGGGCAGGCAGGAGCAGGCAGCCAAGTGCCTCAGAAGTTTGCAGGTATTGTGAAGTCTCTGCCCGCAGCTCTGCAGTCAGCACCGGCAATGGCATTCGTCCCTGATTTGGACACACTGGAGAGCGGCAGGTAAGAATAGCCATTCTGGAGAAGACTTTGGGGATGTGATACTGCATTCCTGACCCTGACTTCACCATCTCCCTTTGCCTTTCAGCCTGAATGAGGAGACACTGTATGGCCCCAACTGTCTCTGCCTGCAGAAGGTAATGCTGGGGCAGTGGGAGTGGTGAGATCCATGTCGTATGGAAGCCAGGCTCTCACCCTGCATCCCCTTTCTTCCCCAGAAGCCCCGACTGGACTTGGAGGTGACATCACCTGAGGTGGGCATCCAGGTGACAGTGACAAAAGGACACCTTTCCAGGACCTTCCGCCAGGCTGCCATCCTGGTGGTTGCTGTGACCAAGCTCCTAAAGCAGCCGTCGCACAAGGACTTTGCTGATAGTGACCTGGGCAGCTTCTTGGATGATATTTTTGGTACGAGGGTGATGTCAGGGGTGTCACCCCAGTTAGAGGATATTCTTGGGGGATACTCTTGGACCTGGGAGCAGCATCCTGCTGACTGTCTCGCTCCCCACAGAGCCCATCTCCTTCCAGTGCATCAAGGGCAGTTATACCAGGCCACCCGTTTTCCGCTACACTCGCTCCCAGTCCTTTGACATCCTGGACATTGACCACAAGTGCTTCGTACTGGAGTCACCCACTCAGCTGGTGGCCCTGCACCTGCAGGGACCCTCTGCAGGACAGAAAGGTGAGAGCATGTGCTCCCATCCCAGTGTCCCTGTCCCTAAACCCAGGACCACCCAGGAGCCACCCCACAACCCCAGGATCACCCACTTACCTGTCCCTTCTCTCTGCAGTGAAGCTCAACATTGCTCTGTACCGTCCCCGGTCATCACAAGGCGGTCCAGGGTCTGGAAGGGCGCCGGTGGCATTGGGTATCAAGGGTTACCAACTCTATATGTCATGTGTGATGAGTGGCACCAAGCCCATGCTGCAGCTGGAGGTGAGCAGGGGGTCCCACCAGTCTGTCCTCTGTGCAACTGGGGGCTCCATTCCACCTTGACCCTGATTTCACCCCCCTGGCTATAGGAAGCTGACATCAGGAGGGATATTGAGAGTGTGGAGCTGACACGATTCATCTTCTACCGCCTGGACAGCCCAGCTGAGGGGACCACCCGCTTTGAGTCGGCCGCCTTCCCCGGCTGGTTCATTTGCACTTCCCTGCAGCCCCGCCAGCCTGTAAGCATCACGAACACCCCAGACCAGGTGAACATTGCTACCTATGAGCTGAGTGGGCGCTGAGGATGCTGCATCAACCCAATCGGCAGTCACCGGTTTTCAGGCTGTATGTACCAAGTACAACCCCCTGGGACACAACCCCCATCCCCATCTATTTCATGTGAAATAGCAGCTCTGGGCCCCATGGGCTCGAGCCACCCCAGTCTGTATTTATTTATTGTGTCTGCCCATTGCTTTGGTACTTATTTATTGTGCCCCCTTATTTATTTTTGCTTTTAACTTGTATGTGAATGGAGGTGGAAATAAAAAGTTTTCTGGGACAGCATTCCTCAGCTCATTTCTCGTGGGGGATGGAGTTATGGATGGGAAAATTCTTCTGCTTTGGCTGCTTTTTGGGTGAAAGCTCAGGGAGTGAGGGGCCACCCCACAGCCCAGGGACCATCCTGACTCATGCAGGACCCTCCACCACTCTGTCTCCATGCCTACACCATAGATGGGAGGTGGCTGGGGCGGGCATCCCATGGTGGATCCCCAGCAGCCCCGGCATCTGCCTGGAACTGTCACTTCTGCCCCAGCTGCAGCCAGCTCATGGCATGGTGGGCCACAGTGCAGCAGGACAATGTGGTGTGGCATTACAGGGTGCGGCACGACATCACATAGCATGATGTGGTGTACCATATCATGCAATTTCACACCACACCATGCCTTATCATGTGGCACAGCATGGTGCAGCATAGCATGGTGTGCCGTGGCATCGCGTGGTATTGCATGGCACGGCACGGCACGGCACACGGTGTAATGGCACGTCGCGACCTGGCTCAGTGTAGCATGACATGGCTTGTCACGGCGTGACAACGCGTGTCATCGCAGGCACCCACCCCCGCCCCG